GTTTGATGAGTTGTGTAAGGTGTAAATTAATACTGTGTTCTATTCATTTCTAATATTTCTACTTGTGCTTCGTACCTCAGTATGGTCACATAATCCCCACTGTCATTCATGGTTACTTTGAGAATCCACAGAGTCTCCTCGTGCACCAGGATGTGACCAGTCTGACTGCTGATTTCTTGGCCTGACACCGAGTTGTACCACGTGATGTTGTACGGGACAGTTTTGAAATCAAAGACGTCTGAGGAGACCAGTGTGCTTCTCAGCATAGCCACATCTCCAGGAACAGACAAAACCCTCTCAAACTGGAGTTTGTAGTCAGTACAGTTCTCTGCAACATACATGTAAGTGTGGAATAGAGAAAAAAGTTATTTAACCTTTTAATGCTGAGAAATCAGACCTTTCAAAGTCAAAGATAATGTTGTTATTTGTTTGAAATTAATTGAATTGAACTGAACTGAGATGTGACACATTTCCTGCTCGAAATGTTTTATTTGAACTTTCCCAAGCAGAGTTAAAAATCAGTGTTGTTGTAATTCTATCCCTGGCCACAAGAGGGCAATAAAATACTTCAGCTCATGCTAGTGGCTCAAACTGCAGCTTGGCAAAAACATGACATATGATAAATTTACAGAAACATTTAAAAATTTGTTAATGTGTTCAGTGTGTGTGTGTGTGAAGCAGTGCTACTCAGCTCACCCTGTTCAAATCCGCTACAGATCCCACACAAACCAAGGAAAAACACAAGGCTTGCCAGTGTTGAACTTGAACCCATGGCTGAAAAACAAAGATACAGAACATTTAGAAGTGAACATGCTAAGAGTCGCAGCAAAAACCTGAAATGGAAATCAGCTGACCTAGTGCCAGGTCTTCCTGCGTCTTTAAATTACATCCAGAGAATGTGAAAAGCCCAAGAGCCTTTAAAATCCAGCAAAAACCAGAGAAACTGAAAGAGCTAACTGTACACTGCCTGATATTTTCTCTCTCCTGCTCACTTCTCCTTTCTCACGCCATCTAGCTCCTTCTCTTGATCGTGAATGACTAGCACTCTGGTATTTGAGGAGCTGCGTGTGTAAGCCAAAATGCTGCGTAATGCTTTATGACTGGAAGCAGACCCAGTATTCCTGATAACAGTCCAGTGTTAAGTGTTGCTATTAACCCTTCAGGAGGAACTGAATTAAAACTGGTGAATTTGTATTAGTGTCGGACAACATCCGATTTGTTGCTATGCAAATCATACCCCCAGACAGTAAAGTGTCAAGTTGGACTAAATAAATGCACAACCCGAGCCTCCGTTAGTTCGCCAACAACACATAAA